CCGACCTCCCCACTGTTTAAAGAGGTCCATGGCAAGAAAGTAGACCAGCTCCTGCCTAGCCCAAGCAGAGAGACCGCCTCGGGGTCCGGAGGGGCCTGGCAGTGGGGTGCCTGCCTCCAGGGGATCTGAGGCACAGACGGGAGGCTAAGCGAGCGGCCAGCCGCTCTGGGGTCACACTTGGGGGCTGTGTGTTTGTCAGCAAAGCCAGGGGTGCCTGGGAGTGCCGCCTGCCTGGCCGCTGCGAAGGTGCAGAGGGAGGGCCACCCCTGTGTTGGGAGCTCCTGGGTAGGTCAGAGACGAATTCCCGGGCAAGGCCTACCTTCACCGAGTGCCCCTGGATTTGGGTGCCATTCAGGCCAGAGAAAGGGGACGTCATGGGTTTGGTGAGGGCTGAATATGCCATAGGCACTCTTCTGTATCTCTATACCTATAGCTATAACTATATCTATATCTTTATCTATGTCTATATCTATACCTATATCTATACCTATAGCTATAACTATATCTATATCTTTATCTATGTCTATATCTATACCTATACCTATAGCTATAACTATATCTATATCTTTATCTATGTCTATACCTATACCTATACCTATACCTATACCTATAGCTATAGCTGTAACTATATCTATATCTTTATCTATGTCTATACCTATACCTATACCTATAGCTATATCTAGATTTCAGAGAGGAAGGGAGAGGGACAGAGAGAGAGAAACATCAATGATGAGAGAATCATTGACCTGCTGCCTCCTGCACGCCCCACACAAAGGGATCCAGCCCACCACCCAGGCATGTGCCCTGACCGGGAATCGAACCACAACCTCCTGGTTCCTAGGTCAATGTTCAACCACTGAGCAACACTGTCCGGCGCGGTAGGCATTCTGTCAGATAGTTTTACTAACAGGATTTCACTCTGAACTTACCCTCCTTTTGCAGAAGGTGAAACGGGGTGGCTCAGGTCCTGCTGCTCAGAAGGGAAGGGCACGGTCCCCCTGACTGTGCACCCAGCTCTGAGTCCCCGGCACCGTGCCCACTGCCCGCGGGCCTGGGCCTGGCGCTGGACCCTCAGGAACAGGCTCAGCGAAGGCGAGGGGGGCGGGAGGCCCGGGCAGGGACCCTCCTGCTCTGCTAATGCCCTAAGCTCTCCTGCCAGAGGTGCCAGGACTGACAGCCGCCGCCCGGCAGGAGGATCACACATCCTGTCCACGCCCCCCCAGGCCTGCTTCCCGGAGGGTCAGAGTCTGCATGTGGACGTAGGCAGAGCCAGGGCCTCCAGGTGCTGCAGGTGCTGAGTTGGGGCGGGGGTGGGGGGACGGGGCCCTGCCAGGCTGACCTGGGAGAGCAGTGCTGAGCGGCACGGCTGAGCGGCAGGGGCGAGGCTGCCTGTGGTATAGGCGGCTGTGCCAGCACGCTGCCGCCTCTCCGCCCACAATGGCCCCATTGTTCCCCAGCCAGGCGTTCGGAGGAGGCCTAGGCCACCCCTAACCTCCCCGCGAACGGCCAGATTAACTCCTTGGAGGCCAGAGGCTAGGTGAGGCCCGCAGGTCCTCTGTTCTGGGGTTCGGGCCTGGGAAGGCCCTCCCTGCTCCTGCGCCCGCGAGGGCTGCTCTGGAGCCTGGGGCCCTCCCCAGGGTAGGAAGCCGCACCTAGCGCCCCCCTCGGTGCAGGTGCCAGGGCCAGGAAGTGCCGGGCGGCGGCGGGGGCGGCTATATTTGGGCTGGAGGGGCTAATCCCAGCCTCACTGCTGCCGCTCCTGCTCCTTTCCTTCCTGTGAAACCAGAGCCGGGCTGGGCCGTGCTCAGGATTTCGGTGGATTTAAAGAGGCCGCACCATGCCTGCCAGCTTGGCCTCCTCCCCTCCCCAGGCAGGGTCTGGGCAGAGGTCACTGGAGGGCTGCTGGCTCTCTCTGCCCCGGGCTGACCCCTGGCCCTTGCCCGTTCGGGCCCAGACTGGGGCCCTCCTCTCCCAGGCGGGCGGGCGGGGCGGGCGGGCGGGGTGGGCCGCGGTTTCCTGTGCCGGCTGTTTGCCTGGCCCGCAGTGCCCGCTCTGCCTGGGCTTCCTGCCTGTCTGGGTTCACTGTGCCCCCTGCCGCTCCCCGCGGGGGGAGGGGACAGGCGGGGATTGGGCAGCAGGCTTTGGGGGCCCTCACTGCCAGGGCATGACTGGCACTGGCCGAAGGAGCCGCGGGGGTGACCTCAGGCGTGCCAGGCAATGCCATGTCCCTGTGGCCTCCGGAAGGTCCAGAGGGCGCAGGCTGTCCCGTGGAAACACCCCGTGCGGAGCCCCCGCCGCCTCCCCGGCCGGGGCGCCCGTGCTCCATGGGCTGCTGGTGCGCCGGCGCAGGGGCTGGACACGCCCGGCAGAGGTCTGCTTCCCTACTGAGCCTGGACGGGGGAGCCCCTCCCCCAGCTCCTGGCCTGCGAGTTCCGGAGGGTCTCTGGGCCGCACATTGGTCCGTGGGCAGGCTTCCTGCCGGGCTGACCCTCGCCCTGCCAGCCAGGGCCCTCGGAGGAGGCAGTGCGGTGCCAGAGGACAGCTGGGACCAAGGAGGCCTGATGCCGGACAGCGGGCTCAGGGCGTGTGGTCTGCGGGCTGCATGCACCCCTCCAGCCAGAGGCCAAGGGCCCAGCACAGGCTCCAGGCGGTGGGCCCTGCGCTGCGGGTTCTTGGGAGCCAGGAGCTGGGGGCTGGGCACTCCAGGCGTCCCCCTCCAGCCCCGCTTCCTGCCCCCAAGTCACACAGGGATGGCACCACTCGCACTGCCCCAGCCACCTCCCCTGCCTTTCCCCAGGAAGGAGGCGCAGCGCCTGGCGGGCTGGGGAGACCAGTCTGGGGGCTGGTACGTGGTGAAGAAGATGGTTGAGTTTGGGTGGTGGCATGTTCAGATCCTGTCACAGAAACCCACACGTGAAACCTACACGATCCTGCCAACCAGTGTCACCCAATCACTGTCTTAACAAACTGCACCCCGAGGAGGGACGCCTCCTGGGACTGAGTGGGAGGCGGGTCCGGGGTGAAGTGGGGGGTGAGATGGGAAAGCTGTGACTCACCCGCCTGACTCAGACTGCCCTGCGGGTGGGAGAGGGGCTGGGCGAGGAGACACCAGAGCCGGCGGCCTCAGCCTTCCAGCCCAGCCACCCGCCTCAGCCGCACACCCCGGCTCCGGGGCTGGCGTGTGGGGAGCCAGGCCACCCGGCGCAGCTCCACGAGCTGTCCGGACCCAGCAGGGGGCACTGCTGTGCTGGCCACCGCGGGGCGGGCGGTCGGTCCTACCTTTCCCCGTGCCTCAGTGTCCTCCCGGTGAAGTGGATTCTGACCCTGCCCTGCCCTGCCAGCTGGCTCAGCGGCGAGCTCACCATCCCCGAAGGGTCTCGGGTTCGATTCTTGGTCACAGGCAGTACTTCCCCTGCCGCTGTGTCTCACGTTTCCTCTCTCTGCCTTTCCACTCTCCATGGAAAAATGTGAGGATTAAAAACAAAGAAACGACCACCTCCCGGCAGGGGGTGAGTAGCCAGGCTGAGGGAGTGAGAGCCTCCCGCTGCTCCAGCCGCTGGCTGCCCTGCCTCCCCCGCCTCCACCAGCCCTGGGCTGAAACCTCCCCCGAAGCCCCTCCCTCCCTCCAGAGACCGGTCTGAGCCATAGGCCCGTGCGGGGTCAGTTAGGGTTAGGCTCCCCTGGGCCCCAGGGGGGCTGGTCCTGTGCCCCCAGCCTAGCCTCCAGCAGCCGGTGGGGAGCAGTGGGACTGGGCACCAGTACCTGGTGGGCCTGTTACCTGTGCTAGCACCCTCCCCTCCCCTCACATCCCCTCCCCTCTCCATCCCTCCCCATCCCTGCCCTCCCCTCCCCACCCCTCTCCTCACTTCCCCTCCCCTCCCCTCTCCATCCCTCCCCATCCCTGCCCTCCCCTCCCCACCCCTCTCCTCACTTCCCCTCCCCTCCCCTCTCCATCCCTTCCCATCCCTGCCCTCCCCGTCCCCGGCCCTCCCCTCCCCCCTCCCCCTCCCCAGGATCAGCTGGGGGGGGCGGCAGGCTCTGCTGTGTGTTGGGGTGCACCCATGGCCTGTGACTAGGCCCTAGGCCTCCTCCGGGCTGGCCTCAGTCTTCCCGTCTGTGGATGAGCCGGCAGCCCCGGCGAGGGCTGGTGGCTCCTGCCTGTCTCTGTCTCGGGCTGTGGGGGTCAGGCTTGGCCCCCGCCCCCACCGCACAGCCCAGCCAGGCTGCTGTCCCGATGGCCGGCCTCCCCGGCTGAGCCGCCTGGGGGGGGCGGGGGGCGGGGGCCGCATGCCTGCGGTCGGGAGGAATCCGGGAGGAATCCGGCCGAGTCCGTCTCCGCCGCCAGCTGCCGGCCCAGCGCCCGCCCGGGCCCGCCCGCCCATGGGCCCGCCGCCGGGCGCAGCCCAGCCCCGCTGCCTGGGGGGGCACTGCGCTGGGGGGGAGGGGTCTGAGGGGGCTCCCTGTCCAGGGGGGTGGCTCCCTGTCCAGGGGGGGCTCCCTGCCGGGGGGGGGCTCCCTGTCCAGGGGGGGCTCCCTGCCGGGGTGGGGTGCTCCCTGGGGGGGGGCTCCCTGTTCAGGGGGGCTCCCTGCCAGGGTGGGGGGCTCCCTGGGGGGGCTCCCTGCCGGGGGGGCTCCCTGCCGGGGTGGGGGGCTCCCTGCCAGGGTGGGGGGCTCCCTGTCCAGGGGGGCTCCCTGCCGGGGTGGGGTGCTCCCTGGGGGGGGCTCCCTGCCGGGAGGGGGGCTCCCTGCCCCGGGGGGTGTCGGGGGAGAGTGCCTGGGCCAGGGCCGCGCGGCTGCACCCTCTCTCCAGGGCCCTGCCCGCGGTGGCCGAGCCAGAGGGCAGCGCCCCGCGGAGGGAGCGGGCGGGGGCCGGGACTGGCCTCCAGGCAGACCCCACAGCAGCCCCCCTCCACCACCCTGTCCAGGCCCCCGGTGTAGGGCTGCTGGGTCCTCCCCCCTCCCCAAGTCACAAGTTTTCTCTTTGGGGCTTGTTGCTGCAGTCCCTGCTCCAGTACCGAGTGCCAGCTGGGCCCTGGGCACGCAGGGGGCGCAGCCCCACTGTGTGCGGGAGCCATGAGGATCCTGGCTAACAAGACAAGGTGTGTGGGTGTCATGGAGGGTGGGCGTGCGTGGCGTGTGGGGAAGGGCGGGCAGGAGCCGTGCTGCTTGGGGACCCGCCTCGGGCCCCAGCTCCAGGGGCTCGGAGTGGGAAGGCCTGCCCTGAGCCCCGAGCCCAGCCCGCCTGGTGTCTGGCCCCGGGGCCTTGAGACATTGTGAGTGGAACCCCCCCCTCACTGTGGGTCCCCACGGCCTCTGGCCCAGTCCACGGGGGGGGGGGGCGGGGGCCAGCGCCCTCCCCCGAGGGGCCTGCAGACAGGCCAGGCGCTGCAGGCCAGGGAGCCGGAATAAATCTGAGCTGGTGTGGAATGGGGGGATAGATGTCCTCTCCCAGTGATGTGATCTTTCCAGCGGCTATTAATAGGTCTCCGGGGAGGGGGAAGGGGAGGGGGGAGCCCGCTGGATCTTAAAGGGCCCACAGCCTTGGAATCCCTGGCTGTGAGCTGCACGCCAGTCTGCTCCACACACCACCCCTTCCCTTCCCGCTCCGCCTGCCCCGCTCCGCCTGCCCGGCCTCACAGGGCTCCCCGCCTGGGAGCTGTCTGGCCCGTGGTACCAGCCGCTCGGCGGTGCTTTCCCCGCTTCCCAGGACAGCCTGGGCATGGTAGTGACCCCCAGGCCCGGCCCGGCCCTCCTGGTGCGGGGCACGCGGAGGTCAGACGCAGGCCCTGGCGGAGGGGTGCTGAGTGGGCAGGTGCCGGTGTGTGAGGGTGTTGGGTGGGGGTGGGTCTGCCAGGAGAGGCTCTGGTTTTCCTCTGAGCTGTGGGGCCTGAGGGTAAGGTGGCCCCATCGTCACTCTCCAAGGTGAATGGCATTAGCCCTTGTCTGAGGAACAGCGGGAAGAGGAGGGAGAAGCTGGGCACCCTAAGGTGCCACTCACCCTCCCCCCCTCCTGGGGCCGAGGCAGGAGGGGCAGTGGGAGTGCAGGCGTGTGAGCCCGTCACCGTCAACCTTTCCGTCTCTCGCCTTCTCCCAGGTTGCCCCACCCCAGGAGGAGAGAAGCTCCGGGGAGCCCGCCACTGTCGCCCCGCGGCCACTGCCCCCCTGCCCCGTCCAAACCAATGCACCCAGAAAATAAGCTGACCAATCACGGCAAGACAGGGAACGGTGGGGCCCAATCCCAGCACCAGAATGTGAACCAAGGGCCCACCTGCAGCCTGGGCTCCAAGGGCGTGGGGGCGGGGAGCCACGGGGCCAAGGCCAGCCAGATCTCACCCAGCAACTCCAGCCTGAAGAGCGGCCAGGCCGGGGCGCCCCCTTTCAGCTCCCTCAAGGGCAAAGTGAAGCGGGAGCGGAGCGTGTCTGCGGACTCCGGAGAGCAGCGGGAGGCGGGGACGCCCTCTCTGGACCCCGAGGCCAAAGGTACCCGTTTCCTGGTCCCAGGAGTCCAGCATGTTCCACAGCCCAAGGCCCACACCTGCCCAGAGCCCCTCTTTCTGTCCCCTTCCCAGTCCTCACCCCGCTTTTCTCCGGCACCTTCTTCTTACCGCTACCCCCCCCCCCCCCCCGTAGTTTTCCCAGGATTGGGAGTGGCCCGGGGGAGATTTGTCATCCTCAGGTGCCACCATGATGGGGCCACCCAGTGGTGGGGTTCCCAGTCAGCCTCTTCCTCCTGCTGTCCCGCCAGAGCCCCGGGGGAGGAGGAGGTGCTGGGGAGGAGCCTCCTGGTTCTGGGCCGGCGGGAGCTGCTGGGCAGCCACTATCCTGGAAGAGTAGCAGCCCCCCCCCCCCTTAATTAGAACCAGTTGTGCTTGGTGCTGCTGGGGGAGGGGAGGCAGGCCGGCGGCCGCAGAGAGAAATGAGAAACAAATGGTGGTGTGGTGGGGCCAAGGCTGGCGAAGGCCCCCAGCCTGGGCATCGCCTTGGGGCATCGGGGAGAATGGGCCTGGAGGCGGGCGGACGGGCCGGCTCTGACCCCCGCGGCCCGGCCAGCAGAGGCGGCGCCCCGGAGCAAGCGGCGCTGTGTGCTGGAGCGGAAGCAGCCGTACAGCGGAGACGAATGGTGCTCGGGGCCAGACAGCGAGGAGGACGACAAGCCCATCGGGGCCACCCACAGTGAGTGCCCGCGCGCCAGGTGCTGCGCCCACGCTGCCCTCGGGGGACGCGCCTGAGGGAGCTTTCCCTCCTTCGCCCCGGGCGGCAGAGGGCTGAGCCTGCACAGGGGGAGCGCGGGTCAGGAGCCCAGGCCCCTGCCTTCTAGCCACCTCCAGACGGTTGCTGCCCGCACTGGGACGGCGCTGCCGGCCTTCCAGGTGCTCAGGGGCCCCTTTTCCTAAGGACCGAGGCGGGGGTGTGTGTGTGTGTGTGAGAGAGAGAGAGAACCAGGTGGCCCCTCCTGGTTATTCCACTTACCGGTACACCTCCATGAATTGCTGGCCTGTGCTGCCACCTGCTGGTCACTGGAGGGAGGGCAGCAAGAGTCCAGCATCACTTGGAGTGGGACGTTGGCTCTGCGGTCCAGGCCGCCCCAGGCTGTGAGCTAACGCTGCTGTGTCTCTGGCGCACCTCCCTGACCTTTCACTGGCTCCTGGCAAGTGCCCAGAATACATCCCCGGACAAAGTGTGAGTGGCTGCCCACTCCTTATTCTGGGCATGTGATGGGGGACATGCCCTGCCCTTGGGATGCCCGTACACGTTTATTCGGTGCTTTCCCTCAAAGCTGACAGCTGGTTTGTTTTGGGGGCGTGTGGGGGGAGGTGAAATAGCTTAATGCATAAGAAACCAGCCAGAGAAGGTTCAGTCTGAACTTGTTGAAGGCGGGGCTTAGAAGGAAGGAAAAACCAAGCTGCCTAAAGGCCCTGCTGTGTGGCAGTCTGTCCTCACACGTGACTGTGGCCACGGCGCCTGCCCCCGGGGAGGAAGCAGCGCGGCAGGTGGTCGTGGGACGAGGGGCCCGTGGATCGAATACTGAAGGAAGCTCTGCAGCTGCTGGGACTAACGGTCGTTGGCCCAGGTCCCCCCACAGGGAGCCCCGGCTGAGCCTTCCCTGACAGATGGGGTGGTCACTGCCTCTAAGGACAGACGCCCCTCCTCTATCTTTCCTCGCTTTTTAAAAAGTAATTTTTAAAATGGGTTTCAGAGAGGAAGGGAAAGGGAGAGAGAGAGAGAAACATCGATGATAAGAGAGAATCATTGATTGGCTGCTTCTGGCAACCTGGGCGTGTGCCTTGTCTGGTAATCAGACCGTGACCTCCTGGTTCGTAGGTCAGTGCTCAACCACTGAGCCACGCTGGTTGAGTATCACATTTGCTTTCACAATGCTAGCCTGCACCATGGGAAAACGCCGGGAGACACAGGGAAATAGAGAGAAGATGTTAACGCCTCATACTCAGTACCAAGGCAACCATTATTACTATTTTAGTTGTACTGCCTGCCACCAGATTCTCAAAGAGTGCTTTTTATTTTAAATGTTTTTATTGATTTTTTTTTTTTTTTAGTGATAGAGAGAGGAAAGAGGGATAGAGAGATAAAAACATAGATGAGAGACATCTCAATTGGCTGCCTGCTGCACGCCCCCCTCTGGCTTATGCTCTGACTGGGAATCGAACTGTGAATCTCAAAGAGTTCTCAATGGTGGGGCAATATAACACAGAGGGAACAGCACAGACTCTTCAGTCAGACCAGTGGATAGAGCATTGGCCTGTGGACTGAAAAGTCCCAGGTAAGATTCCAGTCAAGGGCATATACATTGGTTGCGGGCACATCCCTTATAGGGGGTGAGCAAGAGGCAGCTGGTCGATGTCTCTCTCTCTTCGATGTTTCTAGCTTTCTATCCCTCTCCATTTCTCTCTGTAAATATCAATAAAATATATTTTAAAAAAAATAAAAAAAAGATTTCTTTGACTACCCCTTATGCAGGACAGGAGAGTTGAGGCTGAGAGGGACTAAGTGTCTTGTTCATAAGGTCACACAGCGAGCTAGTTGGTGAAAAACCACCCATCGTCTGAATCCTCCGTTGGTGCACCCTTTTGCCTTCTCCCCTGGCAGAGACCAGGGCATGAGGACGGAGCAGGGCTGAGGGCAGGTTTTGTAGACGCTCTGCATGTTGCATTCGGGGTCCAAACCTGGTCCTTAGCATGGCTCTCCCCCTTCTCGTTCCACACGGTCCCCGTCCTGCTCACAGACTGGTCTAGGACAAGTGCATGTGGAAAACAGGCAGGGAAAGGCCCATGGTAACACCTTCCACCGTGAACCTCTGTCCCTTGGCACCGCTTGGTGATGGGGTGCCCAGTCGCTCTGCTTTCTACATCTAGACTGCTGACCCTCTTCCCTTCCCTTCCTTGCAGATTGTAATGTAGGAGACCCTGCCATGGCGGCCCCGCAGCTGGGTCCTGGCCAGGCCCCCCAGCTCCCCCTCAGTGAGGGCAGTGCCCCAGGGCCCCCGCATGGGCCCTCTGCAGCCCTGCGGCCAGATGCCCCTGGGGGCGGTGGTGTCCCCGGAAAGCCTCCCTCACAGTTTGTGTATGTCTTCACCACCCACCTGGCCAACACGTAAGTGACTTGTAGACCATGCTGGCTCTCTTTACGCAGCAACCTGGAGCCTGGGGTCCTGCAGGAGTGTCTGTGGGGCCAGGGTTGGGTGGGTTAAGTTGCATTGGGTTTGGTTAGTTGGGTCGAGTTGGTTGGGTTGGGTTAGTTGGGTTGAGTTGATTGGGTTGGCTTGAGTTGGATGGTTAGGTTGGGTTGGGATGGTTGGGTAAGGTTGATTGGGTTGGGTTGGGTTGGTTGGTTTGGATTGGTTAGGTTGTGTTGGGTTGGTTGCTTTGGGTCGGTTAGGTTGTGTTGGGTTGGTTGCTTTGGGTCAGGGTTGCTTGGGGTGGGGTGGGGTGGGGTGGTTGGGGTGGGTTGGTTGGGTTGTGTTGGGTTGGATTGGTTAGGTTGTGTTGGCTTGGTTGGGTTGGATTGGTTAGGTTGTGTTGGGATGGTTGGGTAGGGTTGGTTATGTTGAGTCAGGTCAGGGTAGGTTGAGTCAGGTTGATTGGGTTGGATCGGATTGGTTGGGCTGGATTGGTTAGGTTGTGTTAGGTTGGTTGAGTAGGGTTGGTTAGGTTGTGTTGGGATGGTTGGGTAGGGTTGGTTATGTTGGGTCAAATCGGGTTGGTTGGGTTGGGTCGGGTTGAGTCAGGTTGATTGGGTTGGATCGGGTTGGTTGGGTTGGATTGGTTAGGTTGTGTTGGGTTGGCTGGGTAGGGTTGGTTAGGTTGTGTTGGGTTGGTTGGGTAGGGTTGGTTAGGTTGTGTTGGGTAGGATTGGTTGGGTTGTGTTGGGTTGGTTGGGTAGGGTTCGTTAGGTTGTGTTGGGTTGGTGGGTAGGGTTGGTTGCGTTGGGTCAGATCAGGGTGGGTTGAGTCAGGTTGATTGGGTTGGATTGGGTTGGTTGGGTTGGATTGGTTATATTGTGTTGGGTTGGTTGGGTTGGATGATTAGGTTGTGTTGGGTTGATTGGGTAGGGTTGGTTAGGTTGTATTGGGTTAGTTGAGTAGGATTGGTTGCGTTGGGTCAGGTCGGGCTGGTTGGGTTGGGTTGAGTTAGGTTAGGTAGGGTTAGGGTGGGTTGGGTCAGGTTAGGCGGGATGGGTTGGATTGGGTCAGGTTGGTTGGATGGGTTGGGTCAGGTTAGGTAGGGTTAGGGTGGGTTGGGTCAGGTTGGTTGGGTGGGTTGGGTCAGGTTAGGTGGGGTTAGGGTGGATTGGGTGAGGTTAGGTGGGATGGGTTGGATTGGGTCAGGTTGGTTGGGTGGGCTGGGTGAGGTTAGGTGGGATGGGTTGGATTGGGTCGGGTTGGTTGGGTGGGTTGGGTCAGGTTAGGTAGGGTTAGGGTGGGTCGGGTTGGATTGGGTGAGGTTGGGTGGGTGGGTTGGGTCAGGTTAGGTAGGGTTAGGGTGGGTTGGGTCAGGTTGGGTGGGTGGGTTGGGTCAGGTTGGTTGGGTGGATTGGGTCAGGTTAGGTAGGGTTAGGGTGGGTTGGGTCAGGTTGGTTGGGTGGGTTGGGTTGGGTTAGGGTGGGTTGGGTGGATTGGGTCAGGTTAGGTAGGGTTAGGATGGGTTGGATCAGGTTGGTTGGGTGGGTTGGGTCGGGTTAGGTGGGATGGGTGGGTTGGGTCAGGTTGGTTGGGTGGGTTGGGTCAGGTTGGTTGGGTGGGCTGGGTGAGGTTAGGTGGGATGGGTTGGATTGGGTCAGGTTGGTTGGGTGGGTTGGGTCAGGTTAGGTAGGGTTAGGGTGGGTTGGGTCAGGTGGGTTGGGTCAGGTTGGGTGGGTGGGTTGGGTCAGGTTAGGTAGGGTTAGGGTGGGTTGGGTCAGGTTGGTTGGGTGGGTTGGGTCGGGTTAGGGTGGGTTGGGTCAGGTTGGGTGGGCGGGTTGGGTCGGGTTGGGTGGGATGGGTGGGTTGGGTCAGGTTGGGTGGGTGGGTTGGGTCAGGTTGGGTGGGATGGGTGGGTTGGGTCGGGTTAGGGTGGGTTGGGTTGGATTGGGTCAGGTTGGTTGGGTGGGTGGGTTGGGTCGGGTTAGGGTGGGTCGGGTTGGATTGGGTCAGGTTGGTTGGGTGGGTTGGGTCGGGTTAGGGTGGGTTGGGTCAGGTTGGGTGGGCGGGTTGGGTCGGGTTGGGTGGGATGGGTGGGTTGGGTCAGGTTGGTTGGGTCGGTTGGGTCAGGTTGGGTGGGATGGGTGGGTTGGGTCGGGTTAGGGTGGGTTGGGTTGGATTGGGTCAGGTTGGTTGGGTGGGTTGGGTCGGGTTAGGTAGGGTTAGGGTGGGTTGGGTCAGGTTGGGTGGGCGGGTTGGGTCGGGTTGGGTGGGATGGGTGGGTTGGGTCAGGTTGGGTGGGTGGTTTGGGTCAGGTTGGGTGGGATGGGTGGGTTGGGTCGGGTTAGGTGGGATGGGTGGGTTGGGTCAGGTTGGTTGGGTGGGTTGGGTCGGGTTAGGTGGGATGGGTGGGTTGGGTCAGGTTGGGTGGGTGGGTTGGGTCAGGTTGGGTGGGTGGGTTGGGTCAGGTTGGGTGGGCGGGTTGGGTCGGGTTGGGTGGGATGGGTGGGTTGGGTCGGGTTAGGGTGGGTTGGGTTGGATTGGGTCAGGTTGGTTGGGTGGGTTGGGTCGGGTTAGGTAGGGTTAGGGTGGTTTGGGTCAGGTTAGGTGGGATGGGTGGGTTGGGTCGGGTTAGGGTGGGTCGGGTTGGATTGGGTCAGGTTGGTTGGGTGGGCTGGGTGAGGTTAGGTGGGATGGGTTGGATTGGGTCAGGTTGGGTGGGTGGGTTGGGTCGGGTTAGGTGGGATGGGTGGGTTGGGTCAGGTTGGTTGGGTGGGTTGGGTCAGGTTGGTTGGGTGGGTTGGGTCAGGTGGGTTGGGTCAGGTTGGGTGGGTGGGTTGGGTCAGGTTAGGTGGGATGGGTGGGTTGGGTCAGGTTGGTTGGGTGGGTTGGGTCAGGTTGGTTGGGTGGGTTGGGTCAGGTGGGTTGGGTCAGGTTGGGTGGGTGGGTTGGGTCAGGTTAGGTGGGATGGGTTGGATTGGGTCAGGTTGGTTGGGTGGGTTGGGTCGGGTTAGGTAGGGTTAGGGTGGGTTGGGTCAGGTTGGGTGGGCGGGTTGGGTCGGGTTAGGGTGGGCGGGTTGGGTCGGGTTAGGTGGGATGGGTGGGTTGGGTCAGGTTGGGTGGGCGGGTTGGGTCGGGTTGGGTGGGCGGGTTGGGTCGGGTTAGGTGGGATGGGTGGGTTGGGTCAGGTTGGGTGGGCGGGTTGGGTCGGGTTGGGTGGGCGGGTTGGGTCGGGTTAGGTGGGATGGGTGGGTTGGGTCGGGTTGGGTGGGATGGGTGGGTTGGGTCAGGTTGGGTGGGCGGGTTGGGTCGGGTTAGGTGGGATGGGTGGGTTGGGTCAGGTTAGGTGGGATGGGTTGGATTGGGTCAGGTTGGTTGGGTGGGTTGGGTCGGGTTAGGTAGGGTTAGGGTGGGTTGGGTCAGGTTGGGTGGGCGGGTTGGGTCGGGTTGGGTGGGCGGGTTGGGTCGGGTTAGGTGGGATGGGTGGGTTCGGTCAGGTTGGGTGGGTGGGTTGGGTCGGGTTAGGTGGGTGGGTTGGGTCAGGTTGGGTGGGTGGGTTGGTCGGGTTGGGGTGGGTCGGATTGGGTCAGGTTGGTTGGGTGGGTTGGGTCGGGTTAGGTAGGGTTAGGGTGGGTTGGGTCAGGTTGGGTCAGGTTGGGTGGGCGGGTTGGGTCGGGTAAGGTAGGGTTAGGGTGGGTTGGGTCAGGTTGGGTCAGGTTGGGTGGGCGGGTTGGGTCGGGTTAGGTGGGATGGGTGGGTTGGGTCAGGTTGGGTGGGTGGGCTGGGTGAGGTTAGGTGGGATGGGTTGGATTGGGTCAGGTTGGTTGGGTGGGCTGGGTGAGGTTAGGTGGGATGGGTTGGATTGGGTCAGGTTGGTTGGGTGGGCTGGGTGAGGTTAGGTGGGATGGGTTGGATTGGGTCAGGTTGGTTGGGTGGGTTGGGTCGGGTTAGGTAGGGTTAGGGTGGGTTGGGTCAGGTTGGGTGGGCGGGTTGGGTCGGGTTAGGGTGGGCGGGTTGGGTCGGGTTAGGTGGGATGGGTGGGTTGGGTCAGGTTGGGTGGGTGGTTTGGGTCAGGTTGGGTGGGATGGGCGGGTTGGGTCGGGTTAGGTGGGATGGGTGGGTTGGGTCAGGTTGGGTGGGCGGGTTGGGTCGGGTTGGGTGGGATGGGTGGGTTGGGTCGGGTTAGGGTGGGTCGGGTTGGATTGGGTCAGGTTGGGTGGGTGGGTTGGTCCGGTTGGCTTGGGTCGGGTTGGATGTTTGGGTTGGGTGTTGAAGGTGAGGGGCCCTCCGTCTCCTGAGCTGTCGTGTCGGACCCCGTGCAGGGCTGCGGAGGCTGTGCTGCAGGGCCGGGCCGACTCCATCCTGGCCTACCACCAGCAGAACGTGCCGCGGGCCAAGCTGGACCAGGTGAGAGGGGCGCTGGCCGGGCCGGCCCTCCAGTGGCAGCGCCTGGGCCAGCGCCCTGCCTCACGCTCTGCCTGTGTCCCCTTGCAGGCCCCCAAGGTGCTCTCCACCCCGGAGCCGCTCCCCCTGAGCACACCGTCTGCAGGCACCCCCCAGCCCCAGCCCCCTCCACTGCCACCGCCGCCCCCCGCCCCTGGCAGTGCCCCCCCTGCTCTGCCTCCTGAGGGGCCCCCTGAGGACACCAGTCAGGACCTGACACCCAGCTCCGTGGGAGCTGCCAGCACAGGCGGGGGCACTGGGGGGACCCACCCGAACACCCCTACAGCTGCTACCAACAACAACCCCCTGCCTCCGGGAGACCCCGGCGGCGCCCCCGGCCCTGCCCTCCTGGGGGAGGCCGCGCCCCCGGGAAGCGGGCAGCGCAGCCTGCTGGGCTCGGAGGGGCTGTCCAAGGAGCAGCTGGAGCACCGGGAGCGCTCGCTGCAGACGCTGCGGGACATCGAGCGGCTGCTGCTCCGCAGCGGGGAGACCGAGCCTTTCCTCAAGGGGCCCCCAGGAGGCGCCGGCGAGGGCGGGCCCCCAGCACCGGCCCCTCCCGCCGCCCCGCAGCCTGCCGCGGCCCCTCCAGGCGGGCTGAAGAAGTACGAGGAGCCCTTGCAGTCCATGATTTCGCAGACACAGAGCCTCGGGGGCCCCCCGCTGGAGCACGAGGTGCCGGGGCAGCCCCCGGGCGGGGACATGGGGCAGCAGATGAACATGATGATGCAGAGGCTGGGCCAGGACAGCCTGACGCCCGAGCAGGTGGCCTGGCGCAAGCTGCAGGAGGAGTACTATGAGGAGAAGCGGCGGAAGGAGGAGCAGATCGGGCTCCACGGGGGCCGCCCGCTGCAGGACATGATGGGCATGGGCGCCGTGATGGTGCGGGGGCCGCCGCCGCCCTACCACAGCAAGCCCGGGGACCAGTGGCCGCCCGGCCTGGGCGCCCAGCTGCGGGGCCCCATGGACGTCCAGGACCCCATCCAGCTCCGGGGCGGGCCTCCCTTCCCCGGGCCCCGCTTCCCAGGCAACCAGATGCAGCGGGTGCCTGGTTTTGGGGGCATGCAGGGCATGCCCATGGAGGTGCCTATGAATGCCATGCAGAGGCCTGTGAGGCCGGGCATGGGCTGGACCGAAGACTTGCCCCCCATGGGGGGGCCGGGCAGCTTTGCTCAGAACCCCGTGCCCTACCCGGGCGGGCAGAGCGAAGCGGAGCGGTTCGTGGCCCCCCGGGTGCGCGAGGAGCTGCTGCGGCACCAGCTGCTGGAGAAGCGGTCCCTGGGCGTGCCGCGCCCCCTGGGCATGGCCGGCGGCGTGGGGCAGGGCGTGGACATGGAGCGGGTGATGCAGGCGCACCGGCAGATGGACCCGGCCATGTTCCCTGGGCAGATGGCGGGCGGCGAGAGCCTGACGGGCACGCCCATGGGCATGGACTTCGGCGGAGCCCGGGGCCTCCTGAGCCCCCCCATGGGGCAGTCCGGGCTGAGGGAGGTGGACGCGCCCCTGGGGCCGGGCAACCTCAACATGAACATGAACGTGAACATGAACATGAACATGAACCTGAACGTGCAGATGACGCCACAGCAGCAGATGCTGATGGCGCAGAAGATGCGGGGCCCCGGGGACATGCTGGGGCCGCAGGGCCTCGGCCCCGACGACCTGGCCCGCGTGCGGGCGCAGAGCAGCGGCGGCCTGGCGGGCGGCCCGCAGAAGATGCTGATGCCCTCGCAGTTCCCCGGCCAGGGCCAGCAGGGCTTCTCCGGGGGCCAAGGGCCCTACCAGGCCCTGCCGCAGGACATGGGCGGCGCCCAGGACATGTTCAGTCCCGACCAGAACTCCGTGCCCATGAGCAACGTGGGCACCACTCGGCTCAGCCACATGCCTCTGCCCCCCGCGTCCAACCCTCCCCCGGGGCCTGTGCACGCAGCCCCCAGCCGGGGGCTGGGCCGGCGCCCTTCGGACCTCACCATCAGTATTAACCAGATGGGCTCGCCGGGCATGGGGCACCTGAAGTCGCCCACCCTTAGCCAGGTGCACTCCCCGCTGGTCACCTCGCCCACTGCCAACCTGAAGTCGCCCCAGACCCCCTCACAGATGGTGCCCTTGCCCTCTGCCAACCCGCCGGGACCTCTCAAGTCGCCCCAGGTCCTGGGCTCCTCGCTCAGCGCCCGCTCGCCCACGGGCTCCCCCAGCAGGCTCAAGTCCCCCTCCATGGCGGTGCCTTCTCCGGGCTGGGTGGCCTCGCCCAAGACAGCCATGCCCAGCCCCGGGGTCCCCGCGAACAAGCAGCCGCCGCTCGGCATGTCCTCCGCCTCCGCCCTGGGCGGCCTGGAGCAGGGTGAGTCGGCGTGGGGTCTCCAGGGGCTCACGGGCGGGCGATGGGGGGCCCCGGACAGCGGGGCGGGCGATGGGGGGCCCCGGACAGCGGGGCGGGCGATGGGGGGCCCCGGACAGCGGGGCGGGCGATGGGGGGCCCCGGACAGCGGGGCGGGCGATGGGGGGCCCGGACAGCGGGGCGGGCGATGGGGGGCCCGGACAGCGGGGCGGGCGGTGGGTGGGCCCCGGACAGCGGGGCGGGCAATGGGGGTCCCGGACAGCGGGGCGGGCGATGGGGGGCCCGGACAGCGGGGCGGGTGATGGGGGTCCCGGACAGCGGGGCGGGCGATGGGGGTGCCCGGACAGCGGGGCGGGCGGTGGGTGGGCCCCGGACAGCGGGGCGGGCGGTGGGTGGGCCCCGGACAGCGGGGCGGGCGGTGGGGGTGCCCGGACAGCGGGGCGGGCGATGGGGGTCCCGGACAGCGGGGCGGGCGATGGGGGTCCCGGACAGCGGGGCGGGCGATGGGGGGCCCGGACAGCGGGGCGGGCGATGGGGGTCCCGGACAGCGGGGCGGGCGATGGGGGCCCCGGACAGCGGGGCGGGCGATGGGGGGCCCGGACAGCGGGGCGGGCGGTGGGTGGGCCCCGGACAGCGGGGCGGGCGATGGGGAGCCCCGGACAGCGGGGCGGGCGATGGGGGGCCCGGACAGCGGGGCGGGCGATGGGGGGCCCGGACAGCGGGGCGGGCGATGGGGGGGCCCCGGACAGCGGGGCGGGCGATGGGGGGCCCCGGACAGCGGGGCGGGCGATGGGGGGGCCCCGGACAGCGGGGCGGGCGATGGGGGGCCCGGACAGCGGGGCGGGCGATGGGGGTGCCCGGACAGCAGGGCGGGCGATGGGGAATCCCGGACAGCGGGGCGGGCGGTGGGTGGGCCCCGGACAGCGGGGCGGGCAATGGGGAGTCCCGGACAGCGGGGCGGGCGATGGGGGTGCCCCGGACAGCGGGGCGGGCGATGGGGGGGCCCCGGACAGCGGGGCGGGCGATGGGGGTGCCCGGACAGCGGGGCGGGCGATGGGGAATCCCGGACAGCGGGGCGGGCGATGGGGAATCCCGGACAGCGGGGCGGGCGATGGGGGCCCCGGACAGCGGGGCGGGCGATCGGGGGCCCGGACAGCGGGGCGGGCGATGGGAGGCCCCGGACAGCGGGGCGGGCGATGGGGAATCCCGGACAGCGGGGCGGGCGATGGGGAATCCCGGACAGCGGGGCGGGCGATGGGGGGCCCGGACAGCGGGGCGGGCGATGGGGAATCCCGGACAGCGGGGCGGGCGATGGGGGCCCCGGACAGCGGGGCGGGCGATGGGGGGCCCGGACAGCGGGGCGGGCGATGGGGGGCCCGGACAGCGGGACCGGGAACTGCAGCCTCCAGGCACTCTGAGGGTCACACTTGGGTCTGCGGTGCCTGGGCCCCAGGGGACAGCGGAGGCCGTGTTTACTGGGACGTCTGGAGGAGGCGTGCCTGAGGTCGGTGGGGATTTGGGGCTGAGTCTCCCGCAGCCCCGTGCGAGCAGCCAGGCTCACCCGCGTCGCGCTGCTGCCTCCCTGCAGGCGCCCTCCCGCCCGGCGGCCCCCGGAGCAGCTCCTCCGCGCCGCCCGCCAACCCCGCCGGCGGCCTCCTGACCCCCAGCCTGCCCTTCACGTCCTCCCCGGACCCCGCGCCCTCCCAGAACCCCCTGTCGCTGATGATGTCCCAGATGTCCAAGTACGCCATGCCCAGCTCCACGCCGCTCTACCACAACGCCATCAAGACCATCGCCACCTCCGACGACGAGCTGCTGCCCGACCGGCCCCTGCTGCCCCCGCCGCCGGGCTCCGGGCCAGGTGCGCGGGGAGGGGGCGGGAGGGGGCGGGAGGGGGCGGCGGGGAGGGGGCTGGAGGGGGCGGGTGGGAGGGGGCGGCGGGGCGGGGGTCAGGGAGCAGCGGGGAGGGGGCGGGAGGGGGCGGGGTGGGGGTCAGGGAGCAGCGGGGAGGGGGCGGGGAGGGGAGGGGGCGGCGGGGAGGGGAGGGGTAAGGGGGGCGGCGGGGGGGGCTGGAGGGGGCGGGGCGGGGTCAGGGAGCAGCGGGGAGGGGGCGGGGAGGGGAGGGGGCGGCGGGGAGGGGAGGGGTAAGGGGGGGCGGCGGGGGGGCTGGGCGGGCCGGGAGCTGTGGGCCAGGAGGGGAGGAGGGCATGGTGGCAGTCCCCTGCGCCTGCCGCTGTCACTGCTCCCCACGCCCTCCCTGGGAGTAGGGGGTGATGTCGGGGCCACGCCCACTAGCAGTCCTTTAGGGAACCGCGCCGGGCGCTGGAGGGGTCTGTCCGGCACCCAGCCGTGTCCATGGCGACCTGGACCAGACCTGGCTCTCGGCTTCTGGCCCTCAGGCAGCCGCTGGTCCCCGCAGCTCCTCATCCCTTCCCTTCCCACAGGGATCGGCGCCAACCAGGCCAACCCGATGCACCTGAGCACCGCGGCCGCCCAGAGCCCGCTGGGCGTGCCCCTGCCGGGCCAGCAGCCCCTGTCCCACGAGCCCCCGCCCGCCATGCTCCCCTCGCCCACGCCTCTGGGCCCCAACATTCCGCTGCACCCCGGTGCCCAGGGCGCGGGGGGCCCGCCCCAGAACGCCCTGATGATGGCTCCGGGGGGCCCCGACTGCGGCCCCGGGCCCGGCTCCTCCCCGATGATGCCCTTCCCCCCGCGGCTGCAGCAGCCCCACGGCGGGGGCGGGGGGCCGGGCCTGCAGCAGCACTACCCCCCGGGCATGGCCCTGCCCCCCGAGGACCTGCCCGGCCAGCCCCCCGGCCCCATGCCCTCCCAGCAGCACCTGATGGGCAAAGGCATGGCCGGGCGCATGGGCGACGCGTACGCGGGCATGCTCCCGGGGGTGGCGTCCGTGCTGAGCGACCCCGAGCTGAGTGAGGTGATCCGGCCCACCCCGACGGGGATCCCCGAGTTCGACCTGTCGCGGATCATCCCCTCGGAGAAGCCCAGCAGCACCCTCCAGTACTTCCCCAAGAGCGAGAACCAGCCCCCCAAGGCCCAGCCCCCCAACCTGCACCTCATGAACCTGCAGAACATGATGGCGGAGCAGACCCCCTCGCGGGCGCCCAGCCTCCCGGGCCAGCAGGGCGTCCAGCGGGGGCTCAGCATGCCCATGTGCCACCCCGGACAGATGTCCTTGCTGGGCAGGACAGGCGTGCCCCCGCAGCAGGGCGTGGTGCCCCACGGTCTGCACCAGGGGGTGCTGTCCCCGTCACAAGGCCTCGTGGCGCAGCAGAACTTCATGCTGATGAAGCAGCGGGGCGTGGGCGGCGAGGTGTACGGCCAGCCCCCCCACGTGCTCTCCGCGCAGGGCTCGCTCATGGGCCCCCCGCCCCAGCAGAACCTCATGGTGCACCCCCTGCGGCAGCGCAGCGTGTCTCTGGACAGCCAGGTGGGCTACCTCCCGGGCCCGGGGGGCGTGGCCAACCTGCCCTTCTAGCACTCCCTGCGCGGCCGAGGCAGCGTGTCACCTGGAGCGTGTCTTCCAGCCGTGGCGGGGCCGTGGCGGGGGCCGTGGCCGGGGCGGGGGCCGTGGCGGGGGCCGTGGCCGGGGCGGGGGCCGTGGCCGTGGCCGGTGGGTTGGAGGGTGGGCGGGGCTTGTGTGGGGATGGCGTTTGTGGCAACCAGCCGTGCTGGCAGCGGAGTGGGACACAGTGGGGAGGGCTCTGGGGGGGTTGTTCCATTGTGGCCATCAGACCATCCCACCTCCTCCCCGTCCCTGTGTCTGCACCCGTCACCCAGCTCTGCCTCCCAGTCCTGTGCGGAGTCCTCGAGGGGAGAGGAGGAGGTGATCTCCGCTCTCCATCCTCTCCCGCCCCTGGTCCTGCTCCACCTGGTTCTTCCTGCTCCTCCCCTCCCTGCTGCTGTGGCTGACACACACACACACACACACACACACACACACGCACACACACACGCACCCGCCCCGCGGGCGCTGCCACGCTTCCCACCACGCTCCTACTCCTGTGCTTTGGGAGGGGTCACCCAAAACAGGGATGAAAGAAGCTCTTCCCCTCTTTCAAATTACTACCCTCAGCTGTGCACTGCTCACAGCATCTGGGTCCCTAGAGGGTACTATTCTGGTCCCCCCACATGGGGAGATGACCTCCCACACCTGACAGCCCACACCTGACAGCTCACACCTGACATGGCCCACACCTGACAGCTCACACCTGACACGGCCCACACCTGACACAGCCCACTCCTGACATGGCCCACACCTGACAGCCCACACCTGACAGCCCACACCTGACAGCTCACACCTGACAGCCCACACCTGACAGCTCACACCTGACAGCCCACACCTGACAGCCCACACCTGACAGCTCACACCTGACAGCCCACACCTGACAGCCCACACCTGACAGCCCACACCTGACATGGCCCACACCTGACAGCTCACACCTGACAGCCCACACCTGACAGCTCACACCTGACAGCCCACACCTGACAGCTCACACCTGACAGCCCACACCTGACAGCTCACACCTGACAGCTCACACCTGACAGCCCACACCTGACAGCCCACACCTGACAGCTCACACCTGACAGCCCACACCTGACATGGCCCACACCTGACAGCCCACACCTGACAGCCCACACCTGACAGCCCACACCTGACAGCTCACACCTGACAGCTCACACCTGACAGCCCACACCTGACAGCTCACACCTGACAGCTCACACCTGACACGGCCCACACCTGACATGGCCCACACCTGAACTGAGGTCAGACCACCTGGCTTTTCCCTGGTGAGCCCAGCAGGGCTGATACCTGTGGACAGCGGGCTACTGACTGATTCAGGAGAGAGTGTGAGTGTGTGGGTGTGGCTTCCGGTTGTGGATGGCTGGTGTCCCTGCTGCTACATCTTGGCCAGAACTTGGTCCTGGGTCCCAGGCTGAGGGGAGGGAGAGGAGAGGGACGGCAGAAGCTGTGCCCGAGTGGGCCCAGGGGCCTGTGCCTGTGGCTCTGGGCCCGGTCTCACCAAAGCGGGACGATCAGGGGTGGCCCGGCTGTCCTCCACGGCCTCTGCCCAGGGCCAGGGCTGTGCCCATCCGGGCGCACTCCTGTCCCCCCTCCGAGCTCCCACCCACCTCTGTCGAGCTGAACCATACGCATGGGTGCTGCGCACCCCCCCTCCCCCACCCGTTTTCAAACTTCCCTTCCTGCCTTGGGATCAGGCCTCCCCGGCCCCCAGGACCACATCTAGGCAAGGTGTCTGCCAGGGCCTCTGCCGGCCTGACGGGCCGGCCCCCTGGCAGCTGTCACAAAGGGACTCCCCTCGGTGCTGTGCTCAGCCACCGGCTGGCTGTGGGCCCCGCCCTCCCGGGCCCAGGCCCCTGTCCAGGAACCACTGCCCCATCCAGCCAGGCGCTGCCTGTGCTGCCTCCGCTCGGCTGTGAGCCCGACTCCACGTGCCTGCCCAGGGGAGGGACAGACCCTGGGCGGCCCTGCCTCCCACCTGCTGTCAGAGTAGCTTCCCGGTAAACTCCAGGCCAGCCTCCTCCATCCACGGCCATCCCAGCCATTTTGTACCATTATATAAATATATATAAATATAAATATATAAATACAATATGTGAAGACATCCTTTGGGTTTTTATTTTGAAACTATTTCTAGGCTTGTTCTGGGGGTCTCTGTGCTGCCTGTACTGTACTGACCTGTTTTATAGGTGCCTTTTTATTAAAAAGAGAAAATGTAAGCCTGATCTCAGCCTCTGCTTCCATGTCTGGCTCCTCGCCACCCAGCTTGTGTTGGACGCTGGGAGACAGCTGACTCCCCTCCCGCAGGCCTCCGGATGTGGCCGGGGGGCTGCGTGGGAGCGGGCAGCTCAGGCGCCCTGGCAGGAGCAGGGCCGGCTCTGCCACTCAGGCTGGGCCGAAGGCTGGGGCTGGAGGGGCGCAGGCAGTGCAGAGCTTCCCTCAGAGCAGCCTCCTGCCGCCCGTCTCCTCCCTCAGGCGTCTGTGCAGCCCGGCCTGGGGGATGGGGGGTCGGGGGCGGGGAGAGGGCTCCAGCGGCTGCTCTGGCGTCCCCCTCGAGGGTCTGCACACTGGTCCTAACGCCGGCCCAGCCCTGCCGCCCGGCCGCGTGGGCAGACGGTGCGGCTTTGGGTGGAAGACCTCCTGGGCGGGCAGGCGGTCCTCTCTCCCTGGCTGGCTCCTGGCTGCCGGCTCGGCCTTGGTTCCCTGGGGACTGTCTGGTCCAGTCCGCCCTCCGGCCAGGAGCACGGAGCCGGCCCAGGGCCATGTGGTCAGGGCTGTGCAGCTGCCCGATCTGAGTGGGTCTGAGCTTCATGCTGGTCCAGAGGCGGGCGGGAGGGCTGTGTGTCCGAGACCGGCAGGCTGAGGCTGCGGAGGGCTGTGTGTGTCTGAGACCGGCAGGCTGAGGCGGCGGAGGGCTGTGTGTGTCCGAGACCGGCAGGCTGAGGCGGGCGGGCTGTGTGAGTCCGAGACCGGCAGGCTGAGGCGGCGGAGGGCTGTGTGTGTCCGAGACCGGCAGGCTGAGGCGGCGGAGGGCTGTGTGTGTCCGAGACCGGCAGGCTGAGGCGGCGGAGGGCTGTGTGTGTCCGAGACCGGCAGGCTGAGGCTGCGGAGGGCTGTGTGTGTCCGAGACCGGCAGGCTGAGGCGGCGGAGGGCTGTGTGTGTTCGAGACCGGCAGGCTGAGGCGGGTGGGCTGTGTGTGTCTGAGACCGGCAGGCTGAGGCGGGTGGGCTGTGTGTGTCTGAGACCGGCAGGCTGAGGCGGGTGGGCTGTGTGTGTCTGAGACCGGCAGGCTGAGGCGGGTGGGCTGTGTGTGTCCGAGACCGGCAGGCTGAGGCGGCGGGAGGGGCGGTGGGAGGAGGCCGTAGCTGTGGAGGCCGGTGGCCTAGGAGACGAGCACATTCTGGGGGTTGATGGCTTTCCGCTTTGGTGGGACAGAAGCAGACTTGTCTCAGCTTTGGCTGGTTAGGATGAGGACGGCGGGCGGGCCCGGGCCCAGCCCAGCGCCTCAGCTGGCCGCTGCCTTTGGGCCTTTGAGTCCTTTCCCTCCTGGACCCAGCCTAGCCCGGGGAGGGGAGCCAGCAGGGGTGGAGGCAGCTCGGCAGCCTCGCTGGCCAGGTGAGCCGGTGGGGTGTCAGCCCCACAGTTCCCAGAGTCAGGGCGCCCCTTAGAAGTCAGAGAAGAAGGGCTGAGCCCTAGAAGGTGGTGAGGGAGGTGGCGTTCTCGGACTCGGAGAGGCTGCTCCTGCGCCAGGCGGGCAGCAGCTGGCAGAGGCCGGCGGGCCCGGCGCAGCCCAGCTTGGCCAGCACCCGCGACAGGTCGCTGCGGAACTTGACGCCCGCGAAGGTGTAGAGCACGGGGTTGAGGCAGCAGTGGGCCAGGCCCAGGAACTCGCCCCCGGCGATGGCCACGCTCAGGTAGCGGTGCAGCGCGCAGCTGTCGCCCACGGCCTGCAGCCGGGCCAGGGTGTCCAGGAAGATGGCCACGTGGTAGGGCGACCAGCAGAGGAAGAAGACGCTGGTCACCAGGATGGCCACCCTGACCGCCTTCTGGCGCTGCGGGCGCCGCTGGGCCTGGCACAGCCTGCGCACCACGCCCGCGTAGCACCAGCCCATCACCAGCATGGGCAGCAGGAAGCCGCCGAGGTGGTAGAGGAAGCGGGCGGCGAACCAGGCGCGGGCCTCGGCACGGCTCTCCTGGGAGAAGGTGCAGAGCGGCAGCGAGGCGTTGCGCGCGGGCTGGCTGACCTTGGCGAACAGCAGCTCGGGCAGGGCCAGGAGGCCGCCGGCCAGCCACACGGCGCCGCAGGCGGCGTGCACGGAGAGCCGGCGGCGGCGGCGGTACGCGTGCACGGCCAGCACCACGGCCAGGTAGCGGTCCACGGCCACGCAGGCCAGCAGCAGGCTGCTGCAGTAGAAGTTGACCTTGTGCAGCGCGATCACGGCCTTGCAGGGCACGGCGCCCAGGACCCAGCCCACCGAGCCCTCGGCCACGGCGAAGGGCAGGATGAGCACCAGCAGCAGGTCAGCGGCCGCCAGGTGGAACAGGAAGGTCTCGGTGGAGCTGCGCGTGTGCCGGTGCCGCTCCAGCACGGCCAGCACCAGGATGTTGCCCGCCAGCCCCAGCAGGAAGACCAGGCCGTAGGCCACGGGCATGAACACGGCCTTGAAGGAGGTCAGCAGAGGCCCCTCGGCTGCCGCGCAGATGTGGCTCTCCACAGGGGTGATGTCCGTGCTGTCGCTGTAGTTTCCTGGTTCCTGGGGGCAGGGGCGAGGAGACAGGAAGGCAGAGAACTGAGACCCGCCTGGCTCCCGGAGACGGCCCCCTCCCTGCAGACTGTGCTGATCCCGCCAGCTGGCTGGCCTGCTCCCCGGGGTCCGCTGACCACCCCACGCCCCTCGGGGTCCCTGGCCACATCGCTGAGTGCCTCTTCCCACTTCAATCTCCACCTGTGAACGAGACTGATGGGCCTGGCTGCTATGGCTCAGGGGCTGAGTGTCACCTCTGGACCAGGAGGTCACGGTTCAATTCCCAGTCAGGCCTGATCCCCAGAAGGGGGCGTGCCGGAGGCAGCAGGTCAGTGATTCTCTCTCATCGTGATGTTTCTCTCTCTCCCTGTCCCTTCCTCTCTGAAATAAAAAATACATTTTAAAAAATAAATAAAAGGGACTGGTCGCTCAGGGGAGTGATGGAGGCGGGAGGACACGGGCCACACGCTGAAGGACTGCGCCTGGACGTGGCCCTGTCTGTGTCCGCACGGAGGCTGCCGCCGGGGCTGGAACCCGCCTCCAGAGGGGATGGCTCCGGGCCAGAGCGCCTGCTCCGCTCATGAAGCCGGGGCTGCCCCGGCTGCCGGCCCCCCTGGCTGTGCCCTCTCCCGGCCCGCACGCCCCGAGCTGCAGCAGCGCCTCCGTCTCCATCGCTAACGACAGCCCTGTGGGCGATGCTCCTGCTTCACCAGGGCGCCTCGCTCAGGATCAGGCTGTTCGAACCACTGATCTGACTCCGGAGCCAGTGCCGCCCCCACCAGGGCCAGAGCCTGGGCTTCCCTCCCGCCACTCCCATCACCAGAGCTCCCCGCTCGCTCTCAGCTCCCCCAGGGGCCTCAAAGCCAAAGGGAGGGAGACCAGGCCAGGGGGAGGGAGGGAGGGAAGGAGGAGCTTGCTCCCAGGGAGGGTTGTGCCCACTCTGTCCGGAAGCGCCCCTGCCCCGGCTTCCTCCTCCTCCTCCTCCTCCTCCTCCTCCTCCTCCCTGCCCGGCACTCAGGTTGCTTACCCAGCTAACCGCAAAGGAAGAGGGGGTGGCTGTGCCTTTTCATACCTTTCACTCACAGCTGGCCTGCACCTGCTCCACCGCCTCCCCAGGGCTGTCCTTCCCGCCTCTGCCTCACAGTCCCCTCTCTGTGGTGTTTTCAAAACCAGTGAGAACCAACACGTGTCTACAGTCAGAGCGGCCAGGGCGGGAGGGGTGGAGAGGTGCCCGCAGCGGGTTCTGGGGTCCCCTGTGCCTCTTCCAGAGAGTGGGCTCCTGCACAGCCCGGCTCCCGGGCCCCAATCAGGCCTTTCCCCCTGGCCCGGGGCTGGTGACTGGAGGAGCGGGTGAGGGTGCATTAGTACCAGGCCCTCCTCTGCCCAGCCCCCTGCCATGCCCGGCCCCCCGGTGCCAATGCCGTGGCTCACTGCCCGGCTCCACCAGAGGAGGGACTTCAGACCCAAATCCCACCACCAGGTCCTGCTGGCTCCCGCTTTACCCAGAAACATGGGTGTTTTCTTTTTCTTTTCTTCCCCACTTCGCACCGGACGGCAAACCCTCTGACTGGGAATGTCACGTCTGCGTGAAAGCGCCTCCAGGTCGGACTAAGCCTTGGACCTGGGCGTGATGCTGAGGACAAGCCGGGCAGAGAGAGGTCAGTGCTACAGGGCCTCTCAGAGGCGGCATCTAATGAACAACATAACCTGAGGGCCGAGAACAGAGCCAGAGGGGAGGCCGGGGGTGGGCGGTGGGGAGAGATCAGCCAAGGAAAGCGTGTGGGTGTAAGCATCGCCCACACACACAGGCAATAGGGTGCCGAGGGCCTGGGGCGGGGAGATGAATGGGGAGAAGGGGACACGTGTAATACTTTAAACAAGGAAGATTTTAAAAGAAAAAGATTCAAGTAGCCACAGTCACACATTCACACAACAGGATACGATGTGGGGCTCAGAAAGAAGTGGGGTTCGCCTCCACATTCCCTCAGGGAAGAGCCAGCCCTCCGGCTACACTCCCCCACAGCTCGGGCACCCCACACCGGGATTCCGGGCTCCCAGCCCCCAGCCCTTCCTTTACACGGCGGCACCTCCACTCCGGTGGCCTGACCCTAAGGCTTTTGTTTAAGAAATGGTTCTTTCCCTTCGAAAACCCTGGGATTGCAGGCTGAGGTCTCAATGCCTCCAAAGGGCCTTGAATTTCACCAACATACATATTCCTCTGACCTTTCAAACCTCACATCTCATTGTATGGCGTCAGCCTGCCTGTCTTCTCTGACAGCATCCTGGCTGTGCCTGAGGCCTAGGCCTCCGCCAAGGTCACGGCTCCACCCCCCCCCCCCCCCCATCCTTCCCTTTCGCTTCGTTTGGCTTCACCTCATCCCTTTTCCTTGAGTGCGCCTTGTCCCAGGACCAGCTGGGCACCTGCTCCTCACTGCATGGCCAGCTCTCTCTCCCTCTCTCTCTCTCTCTCTCTCTCTCTTTCTTTTCTTTTTTTTAAATATATGTATATTTTAAAATATATTTTATTGATTTTTTACAGAGAGGAAGGGAGAGGGATAGAGAGCTAGAAACATCGATGAGAGAGAGTCATCGATCAGCTGCCTCCTGCTCACCCCCCCACTGGGGATGTGCCCGCAGCTAAAGTACATGCCCTTGACTGGAACTGAACCTGGGACCTTCAGTTCGCAGGCCAACGCTCTATCCACTGAGCTAAATCAGTTAGGGCCAACTCTTTTATTTTTTAATGATGTCAGAGAGGAAGGGAGCGGGAGAGAGAGAGACACCAGTGATGAGAGAGAATAGTTGATTGGCTGCCCCCTGCACACCCCTCACTGGGGATCGAGCCCAACTTTGGCCTGTGCCCTGACCGGGAATCGAACTGTGACCTCCTGGTTCATAGGTCAACATGGCCGGGCTCGGGGGGTAGTTTTGGGTGGCCTGGGGATGATCTTATTAACACCCACGTGGCCCCGGCAGGACAAAGGTCCTGCCTGCCCTCGGTGAACGGAAGTCTGCGGGCGGCCGTCCGGCCCCAGCCCACCCTGTCTGGTGTGGACACGGTGGACAGCTGGAGTGGGGCGACACCTCAGGTCCGGAGTGAGGAGCAGACATGAGTCTTGGAGAGGCGTCTGCCTGGAGGACTGACGGAGCCCCGTGGGCGAGAGGGCCGGCGGGCTGTGTGAGGCTGAGGGCTGACCGAGGAACGGGCTCCGGGCAGAGGAGAAAGAACCCTTGACAGGCAGATGCTCCAGCATCGGGAGGCGGGGGTCTGGGAGGAAGCGGAGGTTGAGCCCCGGGTGAGGAAGGGATTCCTACTCCAGAGGAGGCTGCGCCCTGCCCTCGGCGCCCTGTGCTCCCAGCTCCCGCGGCCGGGTGCTCTGGCTGCGCCTGCGCAGGGCAGAGCTGGGTCCCAGCCCAGCCTTCGTGAGGCTCGGGCCTGGGTGGGACGTGTTTTGTTTTCTCACTTGTCTATCCTGCAGCCAATGAATGCCGCCCTGACTCTGCTTCTCAGCCCCGAGTCGGGGGCAGGGCATAGCTGGGACTCCGGGGGCAGAGCGTCTACACACAGCCGTGGGCCTCGGCTGACACGGAGCACACGCGTGCCTCCGTGCGGGTCCCGTCTGGACGCCCAGCCGAGAGGCAGGAGCTGTGAGTGGAGTCAGTGGTGCTCTCTCATTCTACCCGCGAGGAGGGGCCGGGGGCTGGGAGAACGAGCCTGGGCTGAGGGTGAGGACAGGGGTCTCTTCCTCTGAATGTATCTTTATTGATTTCAGAGAGGAAGGGGGAGGGAGAGAGAGAGAGAAACATCAATGAGGAGAGCGAATCATGGATTGGTGCCTCCTGCACACCTCCTACCGGGGACGCAGGCTGCACCCTGGCCTGTGCCCTTGGCCAAAATAGAACCCTTCAGTTTCCAGGCCGAAGGTCTACCCACTGAGCCACACCGGCCAGGGCCCCCACCCTTCCTTTGGAGGACCGGACTCCCCAAAAGAACACCTGAGGCGCTGGCTTCCCCTGTGCCAAGCTTCTCCTCTCCTCACCCCGTCAGGGGCGGCCCGGCTCCTCCTTTACCCGGGTTTCTGCCTCTGGCCGTGGTTCTGAGGGGAGAGTTCAGACTGTCCTTCTGCACCCAGTCTTTGCGTTAGGGGTCCCCTTGGGCACCCCACACCAATTTGCACTCTGGAGACAGAGCCGAGCATGCAGCGGGGGGACAGGCTGACGTCCCTCGGGGTGCGCAGGAACCTGGAGACGCGGCCAGGGTCTGCCGTCCGAGAGGACTCGCCTCCCGGCAGGGAGCGCCCGAGCCCAGATGCCCCAGTGCTGACCTCCTGGGCTGGCCCTGGGGCTCCCTCACCTCCAACCCCTCCATCACACCAGCGGCCTCCCCTGGCTGCTCCTGGGACTGTGACCTCACCGCAGGGCTCCTTCCCTCCCCGCAGCTGCAGCCCAGAGCCCTGGCCGCCCGGGAGAGGGGAGGTGAGATGGTGGGACGGGATCTGCGGCCTGGAGCCTGGGGAGGGTCAGGAGCTGGGCCTGGGGAGCTTCGCCTGCTCTGGAGCCACTGCCCGGGCGCAGGGTGGGCTGGAGGTGCCGTTCAGCTGCCCCCCCAGAGGTGCCCGGGTCCTGCCGTGGGAGGCGCCGCTCTCAGGTCCCGGTGCCCGCGGCCCAGATCCGCCTTCTCGCAGGATGGGGCCCTGGCACGCCCCCAGGGCCTGGCTTCTTGGCCCTGACCCTGGGTTTGCAGAGGAGAAAGGACGCAGGGTGAGCGGGCCTCGCCCGGCCGTGGGCCTGGAGAGCAGCTCTGGCCGGGGGCAGGTGGGCCGAGGGCACGCGCCGAGACCTTCGGTAAATCGCAGACCGGCCACACTCCCTCCGAAGCGACTACGGGAAGATCCCGCCTCGGCTCCCGCGGCCTCCCGCCGGGGGTGGGCCGTGCTGGGGGGGCACAGCCCGAGGGCGCCAACAGCTGGTGAAGGTGCGCCAGGCGGGGCGCTGGTGCAGACGGAGCGGAGCGTCCTCACGGACACCTGTCCGCGGCCGCCCGGTGACTGCCCCGCGGCCTGCCCTCCCCCGCTCCACCTGCCTAGTAGGTCAGGCAGTGGAGCGCGGCGGCGGGCAGGCAGTTAGGGGAAATGGTGAGGCTTCTCAGAAGCCGGACCCGGGCCTGTCGCAGGCTCCTGCAGCAACTGGGTCAGCGCTGGGGTCAGCGCGATGGGCGGGGCGGCCGGCAGCTCCCTGGGCAGCCGGCCGGGGCGGGCGGGGGTCCGATGGGAGCCCTGGGCCTGGCCCGAGCTCGCAGCCTGAGCTGTGGGCGCTGCGTGAGAGGCCAGGCTTCCATTTCACCATCTGATCAGACGGGGTTCTGGCTCTACTGTTCCCCCGGCTCAGGCCGGACTCGGCGCCTCCCCGGCGGGCACACCAGGACCAGCAGGCGAGGGGCGGTGGGTGGAGCTCCACTGTGGACTCAGCCAGGGAGCTGGAGGGTGAGGTTTAGGTGAGGAGAAAGGGTTTGGCTCCTTCATGTCCAGCCATTGGCTGTGGGGAAAGGGAAAAAGGCCACAGAGAAGTTTCCAGAAGATCCCTAAAGCATCCTCTGCCGCCTGCCAGCAGGCGCCCGGGGCCTCTGGCGGAGATGCTCCGCACACACCCTCGCGCCCGGAGCCGCTCGGCGGCAGAGCGGCCGGGCTCTGGGGGTCAGTCCCGCAGGAGGCACCGTGTTCCAGGATGGACCCCGGCCCCGGCCCCGGCGCTCGCCAGCGGGCACCTGACTCACGCTTCTCCCGTTTAGCAGTGACGACTGTCTGAGAGTTCGGGGAGGGACCTGTCCTTTCTCGGCCGGACCAAAGCCAGTGCGGGGCGGAGAGCAGGCCCCCAACAGCACGGCGTGCCCACAATACGCTGTCCGGCAAGCGGTGAGTGTGTGCACACGCGTGGTCGGCCGCAGTGCCCGCCCGGAGCTGAAGAAAGCCCCGTTCTTCCCAGGCTGCATCCCTGCCTCCGCCCGGGGGCTAGGAGGGCGTTCCCGTCTCAGAGCTGCCCGCTCCCGCTCCCGCTCCGCCAAAGGGTGTCTGTGTAGACACGGCTCTGCTTACGCCCGTCATGGAAGGCCGGGTCTGTGTGGACTCCGCCCAGCCAGGCTCTGGGCCCTGGCCACAAAGTATCAGAATTCCCGGGGGCCTGCTCACCAGGTCCTCCAGGTTGTAGTTGACGATGAAGTCCATGTCCAGGGCCAAGGGGTAGCTCATGCTGTGGCTGCTGGTCCACGCTGGCCGCTTGCCGCCTGGTGCTGGGCGCTCCGCCGGTACCTATGCAGGGTGGCAGCGACAGGTGCAAATTTAAGCAAATGAGCTGTGGCTGCCTCCGGCTGCGTAGGACCGCTGCCCGCCTCGCAACTCATCACTTTTTTTTCCACTGTGTGTGTGTGTGTGTGTGTGTGTGTGTTCTTTTTTTTTTTTTTTTTTTTAGAAAGAGGGAAAATCCCCGTAGCCTTTGTGCTAGTCAAGCATGTCAGCTCTTTCCTGGCAGTCGCTGTCTCACTGGGGCTTTGACTCGTGTGCAGGCCCCCTCCTCCCTGGACCTCCCAGCTTCCAGGCAGGGAGTCCACCCTCGTCACAAAACCACGGCCCTCAGGGCGACGAGGGGAACTCCAGCCAAGGAACAGGAACCTCAGCACCGCTCCCCGAGCCTCGCCACCCTGTCTTCGCTGGAGCTGCGCGCCAGGGCGCCCTGGGGACCCCGGCGACCCTGCTTGCCACCACCCTTTCGCCCAAGCTGGGACAAAACCTGTTCGCTCTTCACTTTTTAAATATATTTTACTGATCTCAGAGAGGAAGAGAGAGGGAGAGAGAGACATCCATGATGAGAGAGAATCATGGATCGGCTGCCTCCTGCCAGGGTTCAAGCCCACAACCCGGGCCTGTGCCCTCGACTGGAATCGAACCCGGGACCTTTCAGTCTGTGGGCCAACGCTCTATCCACTGAGCCACACCTTCTTCAGTTCAAGTTTAGGAGAAATAGGTGAGAAATTTTCAAATGGAAGAACACTAAGATATTAATAGAGGACAAAAATGGAATTACCCAAATTACCAAAGCACGAAACACAGCCACAGAGCCCTTTCCCGACCAAAGACGATAATGATGTTCCGCTGAAAACGAGCCTGGTGGTGTCTAAATCGTTAGCTTCCTGGATGACTACCCAGCGAGAGTAGATTTTTACTCAGGGGGACCCCAAGGCCGGAGAGGAGAGTGCTGTCCCCAGGATCCCCTGTGTTCTCCCCGCCCCCGCCCCCCCCCAATATTCCTGCCCTCCAATCCATTGATATATTCACCTTAGCTTTTGCCACTCTAAGGACACTGATCAGGAAGGAATATGGGATATAAAACCATGTAGGAATTAGATGACTCATATAGGAAATGTAAGATTATTAAATTAAAAAAAAAAAAATATATATATATATATATATATATATATATATATATATATATTCTATTGATTTTTACAGAGAGGAAAGGAGAGAGTTAGAAACATCATTGAGAGAGAATCATCAATCAGCTGCCTCATGCACACCCCTCACTGGGGATGTGCCCACAACCAAGGTACATGCCCTTGACCAGAATCGAACCTGGGGCCCTTCAGTCTGCAGGCAGGCACTCTATCCACTGAGCCAAACGGGTTAGGGCAAAATGTAAGAGTCTTGCACTCCATCCTCAGCAGATGGTCACCCAGCATCGAACAAACCGCACTTGTTCTTTCAAGAGCTGGTGCCTTCCGTGGGACAGTGGGCTCCTCAGACACGTGTCCCTCACGCTGCATCCGAGCTGCCTCCCGGCCGCACACTCCGGAGCCTGCTCTGCCTCCCGGGCGGCCGGCCTACCTCCTCTCTGGAGCCAGATGCTGCTTCCTCAGGAGACTTCTCCCGTGTACACCCTGCCAGCCTCCGCGCCCTCAGAGGACCTGCTGCTCCGGCATGGGGTGATTGGAGGCTAATGGTCGACATCTGGACAAAACAGAGAAAGATAAACGTTTTCTTACTAAGGATTCCAAACTTATGTGACTGAGTGAAAACCAGCTTCCCGTGGCTCTCGCTTTCCTTGACCACATGCCTAACACACTCCGTTGTGATGGTTCCTGTCCATCATATTGGCTTACAAAGAGTAGCTTTTTAAAAAAATGTTTTTATTGATTTCAGAGAGGAGGGGAGAGGGAGCGATAGAAACATCAATGAGAGAATCGCTCATCGGCTGCCTCCTGCACGCCCCCCGCTGGGGATCGAGCCTGCAACCCGGGCCTGTGCCCCGACTGGGAGTCAAACCCTGACCTCCTCATTCCTAGGCCGACGCCAACCGCAGCCCTGTCAGCCAGGCTCCCGGTGCTTCTTGTTCCAGGGGCCCGTCGACCTCCCTTGCCGCCTCTGAAGGGGCTGGCACAGAGGCCCGCTTGTCTGAGGCGCTGACCTTCGTGGCCGGTCAGTGTGCCCTGGACGGGTAAGTGCCTGGGACCACGCGTTCTCAGGGCTGGAGGGGTGCAGCCTTTCTCCGCCAGTGGCCATTGGGATTCTTACAGCGTCATTCGAGGGCCACCCAGACGGTTCACTTAAAGCGACTGCTGTCTGTGGTGAACATCTCATTAGCTCCCGGGCCTCGGCGGGCCTGCTGCAGAGGACTCAGAGACTGCTCCGCTGGGAGAGACGGTGCTGCCACCTCCAACCCAGAGCCAGTCTGCTGGCGGAGGCCAGTGCCTAGGGGTGACCCCGCGGTGACAGTCGGGGGCGCTCCCGGGGGGCACCTGGTGCTTGTTCATGCTGTGACTCCCGCCCGTCGGGGACAGCGGCCGGGTCCCAGGCTCTGTCACAGTGACCGGGCATCCCGGACGCTGAACGGGCTCGGGTGGGTTCCCCTGTGAGGTCACTCCGCAGGCCTGCGTCACTGCGTGTCTGTGCATTCCACACACTCGCTGCAGCCACTCGTCCTGGCGTTCATCGCCCACCTCCTACATGAAAGTAGGTTTTCTCGGAGCGTTTGCTCACTCACTGACTTAGGCCTCTCTGTCTCTCTGTCTCTCTGTCCCTCTGTCTCTGTCTCTGTCTCTCTCTCTGTCTCTTTCTCGCTCTCTCTGTCTCTGTCTCTCTGTCTTGCTCTCTCTCTCTCTCTGGGTGGAGGTTCTCTCTTTCCTCGGGGCTTGCCCAGCGCTCAGAGCACAGCCCGCAGGCCCCGCCCGGGCAGCAGGCGCCTGGGGAGGCGCAGGGCATCCCTTAGGCCCCAGAGGAGAGCAAAGTATTAACACAGCGTTTACTATCTCCACGCCTACACGTTTTACTTTAGTTTTACTAATCTTCACATTTAATGTAATATTTACTTATATTTCATCCTCAAATGCCTCATGCAGGAGATCCTGGCAACATCCTTAGTCATACCTTTTTTTTGGTATTTTTTTTTATCGATTTCAGAGAGGAAGGGAGAGGGAGAGAGAGAGAAACATCCATGATGAGAAGGAATCATGGATCGACTGCCTTCTGCATGCCCCACCCTGGGGTTCGAGCCTACAGCCCAGGCACGTGCTCTGACCGGGAATTGAACCCTGACCTCCTGTTTTACAGGACGATGCGCAACCACTGAGCCACACTGGCTGGGCCCTGGCCATACTTAAAAATATTGTTAACTTTACAGCTGACACTATTACAGGTGTCCCCCATTTCCTGGCCCGGCTTCTGAGGCTCAGCTCCTCGCTCGGGATGATGGGGAGCGTGATCGCAGAGCAGGGTCCGAGCCGCCTCTGTGGGCCGCTCCCCCCCCCCCACCCCCCCACACAACGTGCTCCCGTAGACTTAGCCGTGCACGGCTGGCACCTGGTCGGCGGGCGGGCGGCGCTGCCCACGGTGCTGGGCCAGGTGCGGCGTGTGCCGCTGAGGCTTTCGCACCCTCGCTTCCTCCCCGTGTTTTGATCGCAGCGTGGCCCTGTGGGAACGGAGCAGCGGGGAGCAGCGAGTGTGAACGGCTCCCAGAGCCCATGCAAACACAGGAAGTGGGGCACGGTTCTCAGGCGGCGCCCACACCGGGGCACCCGCGCAGGTAGCTGGTGGGAGTCCGGGCGGGAGGAGCCGGCCCAGGGCGGAGACAGTGTACCTCAGGGCGTGGGGCCCGAGGGCAGGCGTGGCCAGGGTGAGGCCAGGGTGAGGGCGAGGGCGCCAGGGGGCTTGTGTCCTCAGGGGATGGGGAGGCCAAGGAGGTGGACTCAGGCTCTGTCCGTGGGGCATTCTGTCTAACAGGACAGACACGTGGATGCAACTCTGCATACTCACAGACACAGGCAACCGAGAACCCTTTCATTTTTTTTACTTTTCTTGTTGATTTCTGAGAGGAGGGAGGGGAGAGAGAAACATCATTGATGAGAATCATTGACCGGCTGCCTCCTGCACGCCTCCCACTAGGGATGGAGGCCGGAGCCCCTGCCTGTGCCCTGATGGGGACTCGAACCCTGACCTCCTGGCTCCTAGGTCCACGCTCAGCCCTGAGCCGCCCGCCGGGCCGCCCGGGGGCTTGGGAAGGAAGCAGGCAGGACCAGGGAAGGGCGGAGGGCGAGGGGCGGGCGGGCACAGCGGGCAGCGGGCGCCCGGCCTGCCACCCCGCGGGGGCCGGGCTGCTCAGCCCGCGTTATGGGTGAGAAAGCCCCGGCTCAGCCCCCGGTCCGCCACGCGTGTCCCCGGGAAAGGCACCCGCAGCCCTCGGAGCGGGCGCAGCTCCCTTCCCTCCGAGGAGGCGGGCTGGGCCCGGGGGCTCCCTCGCTCTAGAGGAGACCAGGGGGTCTCCCTGCGAGCGGCAGCGAGGCGACCCCTGGCGCAGGGGGCGGCGGGCCTCGGTGCCGGAGAGCAGCCCGGAGGGCGCAGGGGGCGGCGGGGGCGCAGGGGGCCCGGAGGGCGCAGGGGGCGGCGGGCCTCGGTGCCGGAGAGCAGCCCGGAGGCGCAGGGGGCGGCGGGGGCGCAGGGGGCCCGGAGGGCGCAGGGGGCGGCGGGGGCGCAGGGGGCCCGGAGGGCGCAGGGGGCGGCGGGGGCGGCGGGGGCGGCGGGCCTCGGTGCCGGAGAGCAGCCCGGAGGGCGCAGGGGGCGGCGGGGGCGCAGGGGGCCCGGAGGGCGCAGGGGGCGGCGGGCCTCGGTGCCGGAGAGCCCCGGCGGCGGCAGTGAAAGTGAGCGCGGGGCAGAGGTGAGAGGTGAGGCCGCGGGCCGCACAGCCGGAGTTTCCGCTGACTCCCGCCGCGGGGAGGAGGCTTCCTGGGCTGCGGGCCGGCGCTGCAGAGAGAAATGATGACACAGCAGGGGGCCGGCCCCGGGCGCCGCGGCGCCGAGGAGGCAGGGAGTGGCCCAGGCCGAGCAGCGGGCGCCTCGGCTCGGCTCCGGCCCCGGGGCAGGGCGGTGGAAAGCCCGCCAGGGCTCCTGGCAGCGAGGCCACAGGGTCAGGCGGGTGTGGGGGTGGGGGGGGAGGCTGGCAGCAGAGGTCCCTGCAAGCTGGTCCAAGTGCATTGCTCTTGTGTTTTCTGTTTTGTTTTGTTTTTTTTTCAAAGATTGAAATTTTTTTTGAGAGCCAAATTTTTTATTTTTTATTTTATTGATTTTTTACAGAGAGGAAGAGGGACAGAGTCAGAAATATCGATGAGAGAGAGACATTGATCAGCCTCCTCCTGTACACCCCCCACTGGGGATGTGCCTGCAACCAAGGCACATGCCCCTGACCAGAATCGAACCCGGGACCCCTCAGTCCACAGGCCGATGCTCTATCCACTGAGCCAAACCAGTTTCGGCTTTTTTTTTTTTTTTTTTTAATATATTTTTATTGATTTCAGAGAGGAAGGAATAGGGAGAGAAAGATAGAAACATCAGTGATATCAGTGATGAGAGAGAATCACTGATTGGCTGCCTCCTGCACACACACACACACACACACACACACACACACACCCGCCCGCCCTGGGGATCGAACACACAACTCAGGCCTGTGCCCTGACTGGGAATCGAACTGTGACCTCCTGGCTCATAGGTCACTGCTCAGCCCCTGAGCCATGCTGGCCGGGCCAACTGTATTGCTTTTGTTTTTCAGATAACAGAGGGTTATGAAACTCTCACTGCTCCCCTGTAGGCGCACAGGTCAGCCCCCCCTCCTGCTGCCGAGGTCTCCCAGTGCTTGGCACCCCTCCCTCTCCTCTGGGCTGAAATGTGCCATCTCGGCTTCCCTCCGTCCGCTAAGATGCTCCTGCCTCAGAGCCGTGCCTCCCCCTGCACTGACCTAGCGTCACCATAGGCCTCACTTCTCCTCCATTCAGGTGTACATCCCCCTGCCGGCTGTGTCTCCGTGGCAAAGGCAGTCACGGTCCGTCCTTTCTCCTCCGCCCGCAGAGCCTTGCGCTGAGCAGGTGCTCAGTAATTGCCTTTGAGCCCGGCTGGTGTGGTTCAGTGGTTCAGTGTCGACCTATGAACCTGGAGGTCACAGTGCGATTCCCGATCAGGGCACATGGCCGGTTGCAGGCTTGATCCCCAGTGGGGGATGTGCAGGAGGCGGCTGATCAATGATTCTTTCTTATCATTGATTTCTATCTCTCCCCTCCTCTCCCTTCCTCTCTGGAATCAGTACAGATATCTATTTTTAAAGGTTTTCTTTGGCTGACTGACTGACTGCTGAGGGGAGGGCTGGCAGTGGAGGGGCGGAGAGTGGGGTGCCTGGGGGCTCTGGGGGCGGGGCTGCCAGGAAGGCTGGAGCAGGAACCCCGGGCGGTGGTCTCAGCGCTGGGCCTCAGTCTCGTCTACACTGAGGAAAAGAGCAGTCTCTGTGTTCCCCCTCAGTGTAAACGCTAGAACACCACCCCCTTGGACGTCAGTGTGAGGGGCAATGAGACCGGTAGAGCAGACACCCAGTGCCCAGTAAGTGCTCAGTGCGGCTTGTTGGCCGGTTACCCAGGGAGAGTGATGTTTTAGCTTATGTTTTAGGTGGAGATGGGGTGGCATTTGTAAGA